AGCGGATTTTTCTAATAATTCAACGGCCCGTCGTCAATTATTCCTTACGTAAGCAATAGGAGGTTGATTGAACTTACTCTTCTCAGGTGTTTTGGAACCGACATACTCATGGTATGCGGGTTTGGGGTATATCAACCCAGAGGTTAAGATTTACCAAATGGTAAGTTAACCAAGCTTTCTGGAATACCCCCCTGGCGTGCCTTCAGACGAAAGTGACGTGACACCCCCCGCTGCAGCTGAAAGCGCTGTAATTAAACGTCTTGTTAAGGCTCCTTGGGAGGTTGTGCCAAAATATTGAGGGTTTGAGTTCTCGTAATTATTAGTTTGGTTTATCTTTTGAATATCATTTCGTTATAAGAATGGGCCGTGTTGGCTTTTATTAAAGAACAACAAAAACAACAACAACAAAAAAGATATTTGATTGGATGGAAAACCTGAGCTTAAATAAGAGTGGGAGGCGGGTCTTATACTCACACCAATCCCGGGGCTCAGATGAATCCCATCAAGAAAACCAGCCAATCGCTCAACAGCTTGTCTTAAAAGTGTCCAATCAAGGCTGACACTGCCATCAGCCATTGGGTGTCCAGGGGGAGTGACACAGGAGCACCGGTACATAGCCACACGTGGATGGAAGCACGCCTACTCTACGATGCTATGCTAATCTTGGGTTTTTGCATTTACAGAGCACAAAGATTGATAACCTTTTTTTTCTCTCTCTTGAAGAGGACGCCAGTGAACAGCGGAGAGGCGTTCCGATGGTTCTTTTAGAGCCTTTTCCCAGCTGGGGGTTCTGGCACATCCCCACCCCCGCTCCTCCCCAACCCCCCCGCCCCGGCTGGCCACAGAGAGCACTTGTGGGGCTCCCAGACCCGAAAACCTGCACCGCTGGAGAAAAAAAGAGGAGGACCATGAAGAAGAAGAAGACGAAGAAGAAGGGAAAAAAGACGAAAACATTATGGTGTTGCTTTAACTCTGTAATTTCCTTTCCTGTGTAATAACGTACTTTTTGACGGTATCATAATGTATATTTTCGGTGTCTATGAACGTGGTTCGGTGTCGTGACTGTACACGCGGCAGTCATTCGTCTGTAAAGGACTCAAAAGACAATCAGAGCAAATAAACTAAAGAGGCCACAAGGATTAATATCTCGTTTCAACACAAAAACACTTTTTAGATCTGGAGCAATAACATTTGAGATGACACAGGCTTTTACATATAAATATATATATATACACACACACATAAATATATATACACCTGTTTTTCAGTTTGATCTCTTATTTGCATACCAGATATGTGTGTGACCATTGCTTTAGACATACTGCAAAGAAAAGGCCTTTAATTTCTGGCCTGGTTAAGGGCACGTTCTCTGCTTGACGAACACCGTAATGATTCCGTTCTTCCTCCGGTTTGTTGACTCGTTGCAGAACAGGGCACATTGTCTTGTGTGATGAGTTGCAGGTTTTTTTTCCCCTCTTTTTCCTTTCTCCTCCTCCTCCTTTCCTCCCTAGCCCCCCTCCCCTCCGCCCCCCTCCCCTCCCCAACACGATGCTCTAGGGCCGGAAAGCGTTTTAAGGGTGCTGCCCGCATCCCACCGTGGACCAGTAAAGCCAGTCCGTGGTGTGTATCGGAAAAGGCAAAGCACGGCATGACAGCGTCTCGCTGAGAGACCTGGGATGAAACGGTCACACGGTGACCATTTGGTGAAGCCAGTGTGGACCTTTTCATCCATCTTTTCTTTTTTTTTTTAAAAAAACGCGACAAGGTCAAACAAGAAAAAAAATAAAAATTAATAAAAAAATGTCTAAAACGTAGGTAGGAATACCAGTAAAGGAATTCTAGTTTTACGCTGAAGTATTCAAATTTAGCATTCTGTATCAGTGCAGTACGGTATAATTATCAGACAAATCATCCCGAGAAAAGGGATTTTATGTATCTCCTCGCTGCAGTTTTTAATGCAACCTACAATAGTGTGTTACTGTGGAGCAGAGCTACACATTCCAAACAAATTATTCAAGAAGTTACTCATTGTCTTAACCCCGATTGTTGCATGTGTAAACGTGTTTTCGTTTTAAAGATTACAAAGGATTTGTATATTGTTGTTGTGATGATTTTCTGTGTTAAGAAAAGTTACAAAAAAAAAAAATATGAAAAATAATTTGATGTCAATGAATAATGGAAATTTTTATTCCCACATGTACAATTAAACATCGATTATGATCACCAGCGGTTTCGCATTGGCTGTGTTTTTGGTGCCGCCACATTGCCCCATGGGAAATGGAGTCCTGCTTGGGTTAAAAAATATGACCGGCTAACAACGACGAAAAAAACAACATTAAAATCGGGAAAACGGTAAGCGGGGCACAGCACGTCACTTCGGACGGAGGCGCCCACTGAGGAAATGAGGGCGGCAGGGCGTGGCAGAGAGACGCCTCAGCCAAATGGGTAAATCCGCTGTGAAACGGCACCCGTGCCCAGTGCCGGAGCCCGAGGCGAGACCGCTTCAGAAGCCACGGAAATCTCAGGTGGTTTGTCACGCCGCGGCGGGCTGGGCGAAGACCCCGGCATTCCTCTGATTGGCTTCTGCAGCCCAGTGGTTTTTATATTTTTATATATAATTTTTTTTTAGG